TTATGAGTTTTTGTATCCCATATTTTCAATACCAGTTTAGTAAGAACAAGGTGATAGGTGGAAGAAGTATGTTCATATATTAACCAGAGGGGATTTACAGATCATAGCACTTTCAATACATCTTTGTTTGAGGGAATTATCCTTACTTTTTATTAAAACGGCCTTTTATCAGGTTAAAATTTTGATCATGATGGTTTCAGTGCCATACCAGCACTATTAAGTGTATTGATTTACAGTCTTTTTTATATTTGTATATATTTTTTTAACTCATGTACTTCTTGAGATATTGTTTACATCCTGTTTGGTAGATTCTTCCTTCCAATGTAAATTTAGTTATTTATTTTACTTTAAATTTTTGGTTTAGAAGTGTTTCTGACAACTTTTATATTGATGTTAAATGTAAGTTTTTTAATTTTGGAGTTTGTAGGCAACATAATGTGCCTAGTTTTTGTGTTTATACATTATTTCTCTTTTTTTGGTTCTGTTGATTTTGTATGCTTTGTATTTGGCATTATATATGACATAACTGGAGTAGTGGAGGATTTTAAAAGTATCTTTAATGTATTTCTCTTTGTCAGATTTTATTATATATATATATATATATATATATATATATTTGATGTTTTTATATTAGATTATATGTATGCTATCTTTTTATATTCAAAGTTAATTTTTCAAACTGTCAGAATGTAGGTATATACTACTTAAAACACTTGTATACTTCTGCACAATCAAACTATTGTCATTTTCAAAGTTAAAAATGAGAAAGTTATAAAACAGCAGCTAAAGTTGATGGAATAATGTCTTTTTTCTCTTTTAAATCAATTCATTCCAAGAAAGGTGATAATGCCATTAAGATTCTACTGAGAGTGAAAGGGAATGAAAAAAAAACTTTAGGATGGGTTTCCAGTTTGTTCTAAACAGGAAACAAAAGACAAGGTGGAGTGTGAACTAAACAATAGATAAAAGCAAGAACATGTGTAATGAGAACACTACAAATATATTAGCCAAATAGCAAACACATCTACACAGTAGACAGCTGAAACAAGAATACATGCTACACTCACAAAGCATTATATTTAAAAAAAATAATATATGCTGTCTATATTCAGATATGATTATCTGATTGATATATCATGAGTTACAACAATTCATTTAGTTTCTTGATTTTTTTAATAAAAAATTTAGCCTGTAAAGTGTTTCCATGACAGCTACTTTCATGGAAACTCTTTACAGGCTAAATTTATTGTGAATTTGAGGTTGAGAAACACTGCATGTTTGAGGGAATTATTTGAAGAAACACAATTTTCAGGAGTCTTAAAAATGACTAAACATTAATAAACTGAATATATAGACACATTAAAGATCTAATCAATAATGATTTCCAACTTTATCAGTCTTTATATTAAAAAAATATTATTATGCATAATAAATTTCAATTTCTTTGGTCTGTGTTGCATCTAAATACAATTTTTCAAAGATTGTATATTTTATAAAAATTGGCCAAAATTGAACTACAATCCAAAAAAGTAGATTTTAGAAAATTTAAGTATATACTGACCCCAGTAAACTTTAGCATTCTTGTTTTTTTAACCATTATAAAAATCTAAGAAAATTTAATTATATTAATTTTTTTTTTCTTAACAAAATCTACAAAAATATTCAAACATCTTAGATTAGAGCTTACTAAAATGTGGTTAATAACCTAAGCAGTCATTTTTAGTAATAACTACTGTGATAATCAACCAACAAGGTTTCTTTGAATCCAGTTTTAATTAGTTTTATCAGAACTGACTACAGAGCTATATAGGATTGGCAATCCAATTATCAAATGAAAAAATATTATCAAAAACATTTGTAGCAATAATTTTAATCTAATATTTAAGACTTAAGCATTTAACTTTAAGTGTATTAATTCAATTACACCTGATATGGAACTTTGTTAGAAATAAAGCTAGCTTTATAAAAATAAAAAAAGTAATAATGTACAATGAATTAACAAAATTTTATTATTTCACCTGGTGTTTTGCTATTGGAGAAATTTTGTGAATCTATAGTAAAATTAACCAGTTTAAATACTAAATTTCTACCAGAAAACATCTGTACATTATTTACATTATTCAGACTATTGTCCTCATCTTTGTTGCGATATTTATTACGTTTCAGCCATTGTATGCTCCGGCCTTCTTCAGATGGTTGGAATGTCAAACTGAACCCTTTATTTCGCTCACTAGTTCCACGTGCCATGTTTAATGGATGTCAGTTATCTCCTGTTAATTTCCCTCTGAAAGTTCTCCACTGCCTTAGCCAGGTATTGAACTCACACTCTTTGCGTCCTGTCACTGGATCTAACTAACGCCTTTATCCACTGTGCCTTGAGGACATCTGCGTATGAATTTCTGGGTATTATAAACCTAATGTCTTCAGCAACAATTTTTACCAGAGCTCATATTCCAATTTTTGTTATTATCGCTTTTCTCTGGCACTCCTTATTACTGGTTCCCATATTGTATTCAATTGTATTCTATGCTTGATCGGCTCAGGAGATTTTTGTGGCCTAGCATATGTGCTGATTCCTTAAGTTTATGAATTTTCCAATGGTGTCCTTTGTCTATGATCTCAACCTGATCCCACAGAGGGCAGTGATCTACCTTCTCTCTCCATATGCGGTCAGCCACGCCTGATTTTTCCACTTCCCCTTGTGTTACAGCTTTCTGGGGTTTCTTAAGGGCGAGGTCTGTCTCCACTTTATATTTCTTTCTGCAGCTGCACAAGATAGCGTACACACAGTCTTTAGTCATGTTCTCCTCTGGGGGGGGGGGGCTCTTACTTGGTAGAGATGTCTGCGAAGTGTCAAGCTTTTGAAGTATGCAAACTGTCACAGATACTAATCAAGAACAAGGATCACTCCACACATAAGACATATAGGCAGTTATCGCAGCATTACACCAAGCTAACTCACATATACAGTCTCCCTAAGATTCACAAAGATGGTATTCCACTCAGGCTGATTGTTAGTTGCTAAGGCTCTGTGTGCCACCCTCTGAGTTGCTTCCTTGTACATATAATTGATCCATTGATCGGAAAGTCTCCTTCATATGTACAAAACTCTGCCCACTTTGTGGAAATAATCAAAGATGCTCCCATCCTATCCAAATAGATGGTGAGCTTGGACATGATGAGTTTGTTCACCAAGGTACCCACGGAGGAGGCACTCTCAGTAGTCAGAGACAGATTGGCCTCTGACTCATCCCTAGAAGAATGGACCAGTATTCCAATAGATAATCTGATGGAGATGTTGACTTTCTGTACACAAACAACACTTCGGAATGGGATCACACATATATCGGCAGGATGAGGGCTTAGCAATGGGCTCGCCATTATCACCAGCAATGGTGAATATGTACATGGAATACTTTGAGGAAATGGCATTAGAATCTATATCTCTAAAGCCAACTATATGGTTAAGGTACATAGATGGCACCTTCATACTCTGGCCACACCAGGAAGATGTTCAGGTTCTACTGGACCATGTGAACTCAATAAGACATTCGATACAGTTCACAATGGAGAAAGAGAGTAACAATACACTCCCATTCCTGGATGTTCTAATATCTTGAACAGAGCATGGGTTAAAGACATCCGTATACCGTAAACCAACATTCACCGGACAGTACCTCAATTTCAACTCCCAGCATCCATACAGCATAAAGAAAGGAATCGTCCGCTGCTTACAACAGCAAGCAAAAGTCATAAGTGGCAATCCAGAGACGTAACAACTACCCTGTGTACATGGCAGCAGCCCCAAAAAACTGGGATAGGTGGGTACAAGAGGAGGACAACAACACTCAGAAAACAGTCTGCCTGCCTTATTTGACGAGGTTATCAGATAAAATACAAAGGATCTGCAGTCCATGTAACATCAGGACAAACGTCAAAAGCTTGATGACACTTCGCAGATATCTCGCCCAAGTAAAACCCCATAGAGGAGAACATGACTAAAGACTGTGTGTACGCTATCCCGTGCAGCTGCAGAAAGAAATATAAAGGGGAAACAGGCTGCCCCCTTAAGGTAAGGCTTCAAGAACACCAGAAAGCTGCAACATGAGGGGAAGCGAAAAAATCAGGTGTGGCTGACCGCATATGGAGAGAGATCACCGCCCTCTGTGGGATCAGGTTGAGATCATAGACAAAGGACACCATTAGAAAATTCATAAACTTAAGGAATCGGCACATATGCTAAGCCACAAAAATCTCCTGAGCCGATCAAACATAGAATACAATTGAATACAATATGGGAACCAGTAATAAGGAGTGCCAGAGAAAAGTGATAACAACAATAAAAAAAAAAAAAAAAAAAAAAAAAAAAAAAAGGGAAGTAAAAATTGTTGCTGAAGACATTAGGTTTATAATACCTCAAGGACACATGGCACAGTGGACAAAGGCGTTAGTTAGATCAAGTGAAGAGTGTGAGTTCAATACTCGGCTAAGGCAGTGGAGGGAAATTAACAGGAGATAACTGTCTTCCATTAAACATGTAAAACTAGAACAGTCTACTCCAGTGAGTGAAATAAAGGGCTCAGTTCGACATCCCAACGACCTGAAGAAGGCCGGAGCATACAATGGCCAAAACGTTGTAATAAATATGGCGACAAAGATGAGGACAATAGTACAAATAATGTACATAATACCTCATCTCAGAAATATAGACAGAAAACATTAACTGTAATGATTTTGTAGAAATCATTAAAATCTAACAGTTTTTTTTTTCCCCACATGAAGTAAATTTATTCTTCAAACTGGTTAAATGAAAAATTCTCACACAAAAAAAGAATTATCCCTCCATCCAAGTAAGGCCATTTTTATTTAAATATTTACTACTCTCTTCTTTAAAAGGATATATAACATTAAAAGTTTATAAGTTTTTTCTTCCTGAATTCTTATCCATATTATCTACAAATATACAATTCTTATTTAATAAATGTATCTATTTATTTTAGGTTTTCTTAATACTTTGCTTTCATCTGGTGTCCAATGCAGAAAATTCAAAGAATTAACTTTATTGAGATTGAAGAAGAATGGTGCAATTGGAGCTGCTTACCTTGGTGCCAAGGCAACTGATTACATTTTGCCTTTAGATTATGAAAACAATGTTGATATTTTTTTTCACAAAGAATTGTGAATTTTTCATCCACACAATATAATTTTTAAAAATTAGTTATTTCTTTTGCATTAAAACATTTGTACCAAAAAGAAAAAAAAGCTTGAAGTAGATGGTCTCTTTCAAACATCACATATGAAATTAAATTTACAAGTAAAAATTCAAACGAGGACCTTATTTTAAATTGTTTCTTGAACTTTGAATCCTGTGGTTGTGGATTTCTTTACAGTAAAAACAAATACTGATTGAAATAAGTCAGAAACTATACCATTAAATTGGAACCAGGTCATCTGACTGCTTTGGTAGAATAGATTCTACTTGAAAGCTATTTCTTTTAATTACAATAGTTTTTAAGAAAATGTTCTGTTAAATAAATTTAACCTAATTTATATTCAACAAAATTTTAAAGTGATGAAATATTTTTCAATTGTCATATTAGTGCCTTTATTTTTGCAAGCAATACATTTTCAAAAGAATAAAAATTCGAATTAAAATTAAAAAAAAAAAAAAAGTTTTGGAAAATATATTCCAATTTTTGTAACTACCAGACATTTTTTTAAAAATGTTATTTATATTTTGTTATATACCATACCTATGTCCAAAATCCTCATAAATACATTGGATACTGTTGTAGAGGGGGGGGGGGGTAATATGTCGTCAGAGTAGTCCACCACTAGCAGTGCTTTACCTACTTCCCGCCACTGGCGAATATTGTATTTGGTTGATGTTATAAAGATTACCATTTCAGTTCCAACCTCTGTTTTAGTTATTCCTCGTTCAGTAACCCTTTGTAGGTTACAACATATTTGAAGTAACTTCAAATATAAATCTGATTATTTTATGTTCAGATACACTTAGAGTATTATTTTTATTATTATAATAATATTACAACTAAAACAAGATGATCACAAGACAATTTTATCCATTTATAAAAGCAGATTCAGTTACTGAACATGAGAGAACAGAAGAAAGAACTAAGGCGGAAATACCAAATCATTTTTTCTTTATGATGGAGCTGAATCTATAAAAATTCAAGACTTAAAAAAAAAATAAGATAATGCACAATTATCCTTACATAGTTTGTTTTCAATAATAGCCAAACAATTTTTGATAGTAAGAACTGGACAAGCAAGAAAAAAAAATATTTGCAGGTTTAATGCTGAACCAGTTGATTAATCTAAATTTTAGATTAAATTCTTTGTTAATATTGATATGTATTTTGTGTGCACATAATTAACTAGAAATAATGTTATGATCAAATGTAAACATCATTTTAAGCAAATTTTATAAGTTTAATGAATGGCAGAAATCAATATATTGGAATATTACAGGTATATAAGCTAGCTTCATTATTCATGGCTAAATAATCTTGGTAATATCCAACATTCAGGTTGAAACAATTTCAATCATTAAAACAAGTTAAAATATACAGTCTTGGCATATTAAATTTATATAATAAAGCTTCACTTTTTCAGTAGGATTGTCCTAAAATCAAATGAAGCCTAGAATTTTAAGATTTTTAATAGATTTCTATCTTTTAATTTAATGACAAAATAAGAAACAGTGACCACTAATGAGATTTGAGCCACTTACTTTAAAAAAGGAAATAGAATTGAATTACACAAACAACCTTTGATATATAAAGCCTCATGTGTAAAATGTAGCATTTCAACTAAGAAGCTATTTAGAACTAGTTATCAATTCAATAATTTTGATGTTAAAGTGAGAACCTATTTTAGCAGAAATTGATGACTTATAGCTATTAAGGATTATCTACCACCTTTCCAGTTTAAGTTAATTATGCTGATATGTAAGAATTATTTACTGCAAATATATGTTTAAAAATTTACAGATTATCTCCAAAACATTCTTACTATTTTTGTTTATGTAAATCAAAAACGGGTAATTTTGTTTTATTGAAATGCAATAAAATTGAATGTGGTCATAAGGAATCTTATCTACAGCTGATGCCATTACAAAATGTAATGATTTTGGTTTAACCTTATTTAAATAGCAGAAAATGCTGGATAGTTTTTATTTCTCATTTAATACACTGTTTGCATCCTACAATATCATGAATTACACCAACACAAAAATAAAGATATGCTCATACAAAAGGGTTTTTGATTTATAGGAAAAAAAAAAAATCTCAATTCTTGTTTTTCATTATTGCATAATTATTTGAATAACACTTTTATATTACTTACAATAGAAAAGTAAATGAAACTACACTCACTCTAGATGATACTAGCTTTAATTTTTATTCGATAGTATAGAATTAAATTAAGCTAATAGTTGATTATTTTTTTCATGATTTAAAACTAGATAGGTTTTGTTTTTAATTTGTCAACCAAGAATTTTTTTTCACATGCATCTAGTTGGTGATTCATCTCCAGACACTCACATGGTATATAAAAATTTCCATGATGTCATTGAATTATGTAGAAACTAGTGAGTGGTGACTGATTAACATAAACCAGAATTTGACCTCAAGCAAAATAAGTATTTATCCTGACAGCTAAGGTATTGAGGCTTGTATTATACAAATATTACCAAATGATTTGTCATTGAATGAGTTTATGTTTCTGTTATTGTACATGAAAGCCCTCTGCTAAAAATTGACACACTGACAAAAATTATTGGTGATTGGTGACAAATCTAATAGACTAAATAAAATTTTGTTAAATGTGAACTTTTCTTCCTCTCATCTTTTCCAGACTTGTTCAATATAAAATGATAAACAAAATTTTTATGGTATGAAACTTGTGTTTTGGCTAATACTGCAATCAAGATTCATACACATTTATAAGTAGGGCATTGACAACCGTGTCATAGGTTATCTAAACTGGTAGAGATAAAAGTATAGCTGCAAAAAAATTTATAATTGACAGATATGCAGTCATTTTGGAAACAACAATACTGAAATGTCAAACAATGTTGACATTATCAAACTTGCCTGTTAACCAAAACCTTTTGTGACAAAAAGCTTAGTAACTTAAAAAAAAGAAATCTATTGTAAAAGAAAAAAAAAAAGCCAAATGTGGAGTTCTAGAAAAGTGTGTGCATAAACACTTAATATTTAAAACCTTAAAATTTAAGAAAATAAAAAACTCAATTTCTTCTGTTTTCTTTATTAGGAATTTGACAAAATGATTAAAATATTTACAAAATTACAACTGAAAATAGTAACACAGATACAATCATAATTTACAAATTTTTCACATTAAAAAAAAAAAAAAATTTAAATACTTGAAGAGTTTGAATAAGTTAAATCCAATAGACAAAATTTTCTTAAAGCCTTTCAAAATGTTATTGGAACATAAAAATCCATTAACTATGATATACTTAACTAAAAAAATAGTAAGGAAAAAAGATTTTCTTTATACTGATTTTAAGCTAACAATACATTTACAAATGTCTAATTTTCAGAGTTCAAGCTAAGCCATATTATTCTTCAGTTGATGAGATATATATATATATATATATATATATATATATATATATATATATATATATATATATATATATATGTGTGTGTGTGTGCATAGAGAATGAAAAGATTTTAGTTTTGGTCCCAGGATACTAAACAACCACCCCCAAATTTGAATTGTTTGTACCCAAGCTTCAATACCCAAGAAAATTCAGCAGTTAAATATTGCTTTAAATACATTTTTAACAGAAGGCATTGGTTAACTTTCTGTCCTAAAATTTCCCTTGACAGCCATTTGAAAGCTGAAGAGGATAATTTATCCCTAATATTTATATATACCAACATTTGTGCCCACTGCCTGGAAAAATGTATTTGAAGAGTTTAGAGCACTTTAGAGAGACCAACTGTATAAATGATTTCAAGTATTAGAATAAAGATCAGAAATATTGCTGTTCACCAAGGTATTTCTTTTAAGTTAAAGAAACATTTACATTCACAAATTAAAATTAGTTAGCTCAATACTGATACTAGATAATACAGTACTGATCATCTACATAAAAATAAGCCAACAATACATTGTTAAAAGAGAAAATGTTTAAAATGGAATATTCTAATAAAGGTATATAATATTAATCTATTTGGGATTTCTGGACTTTATATTTCCTTTAGTAGAAATATTTATAAAATACATAATTGTTATTTAAAAATGATACATATAATTTTAAGGAAAATGCTTTAAATAATTAAAAACAATGCAAAAACAATTCCAAATAACCGTATGGAAAAAACTACAGAAATGTATGTGAAGTCAAACTATATTCCTGTTCAAGACTTCATTTGTGTAATTCTAATTCCTTTTTACTATTCTAGACATCATTTAATTCAAAAAGGAATACTTCATATACATTCTTAGATAAAAAGATAAAAGTATGAAAATTATATTTAGTATGTTTCAAAGAATTGGAATAGGAGTTGGATACAACTTTGATCACAAATATACAATTAAAAAAAATTTCAGCACTATATTTCAGCATCCATAACAAAAATTTAAATATGCCATGAAAACATTTCCGTCAACAGGAAATTTGTAACTCCTGGATCTGAATTGAATAAAATAGTGTGTGTGTGTGGGTGTTTTTGCTGGATGTCATTTGATGATTTGTTGAAAAGAATAGAAATGTCACCACAACAATACAGCCAATCAAAAAAAGTGCAGAAAACCCTTCTCCACTAGCAAGTTTCAGCATGTCTTTTCTTTATTCATCCAAAATGACATTCTAAAATTAAAGGAAAAAATATATATATATATATATATATATATATATATATATATATATATATATATCCTATTCAGGCTATAATTTTCTTGATAAATTTCATATTCTCAATGATCAGCTCTTCATTTTAATTTTACTCATTGGACCAATCAAAAATTGGTCACAAAGTACATACATTAAAATTGAGGAGACAAAACAGATCCAGCCTTAAAGAGATCTGTTCATAACTCTACTTTGAAAGACTTGAAAATAAAACAAAATAAAAGGCCTTAGAAACAAATATCAACATGTTCCAGCAGCTCACTCTGTTTTTCAAATATCTTCATACAGCTAGGACAAGCCAGTTTCTTGGTAGGAGAGCTAGGACTTCGAGGAGCCAATGTTTCACTACAACCATCAGTTGCAAGCCCACCATGTTTTGATATTCTTGAAAACTGTGGAGAATAAAGCTATAAAAAGAGAAAAAATGAAAACTAGCATTTCATTGTCATACTACCAACATAATTTGATTATAGAAGCATTTTCAGAAGTTAGAATGCTGAATTATGTGTAAAATTAATAATTTAAAACAAAAAGATTTGTCACCAATTATTCCATTTTTGTTAATTATTTTGTATGCTTATTTGTTAAATATCATGGAACAAAATGTTGTTTGTGTTATATCCTAAGTTGTTGGGGAGAACAAAAACTAATGAAAATAAAAGGCAAGTATATTTTAAAACTTAATAAAATAACATTCATTTACTGTCTGAGAACAGCAAGGATTTGTTTGGATTTAAACCATGAGCTCCACGCCACTGTTGAATTCAGAAGTGCCATGGTCCAACTAGTGGACAAGGGATGTAACTCAATTGTATTTTGAGTTATCGTCCTTTATAGGGGGAAGTAAATGTTAGCACTCCCAAGCAGTTTAGAAAGACATGTAAACAGTCGTTTATTTGTATCTGATATTTAAAAATTGAAAATTCCCTAGCAGTATTTTATATATTAGAGGATAAGAAATTAGGATAAAGCACAGTAAGAACATCAGAAACCAGTTCTAACTATTTGTGGACTTCAAGATTTCAATTAGAACTACTGCTACCAGTAACCAAATGAAGGTGCAGGGTTGTCTCTTTTTGTTGATTAAAAAAAAAACAAAAAAAAAAACAAAATACACAGAATAGTTAAAGTTCAAGTACAAGGCCTTAAAATACAAATCAGTGACATTTGTGGAGTTACCCCCCAAAGAAGTAGCTAATGAATAAAGAATTGTATTTGACCATCTATGCTTATACAAGGACACAGAATATGGTGATCAGCTAGATGACATGTTAGAATGAAAATTGCATTTTACCCTTACTATATTGACTTCTCAGTGATTCTTGACTGCTCATAAAATGTTGTTCAATATTAAGAAAATGAAAGAATTGTCAAAGCCTATATATATGTGTGTGTGTGTGTGTGTGTGTGTGTGTGTGTGTGTGTGTGTGTGTGTGTAGGAAAAAAAAACATTTTTAAAGCAATTTCTTGGAATTTTAAGTTTTGAAAAGTATGCAAAAGTTATTACAGAAAGATCTTTCATCTATATATTTTGTTTCTAATTTTCAAAAAAGAACTTTTACACATGACTAACAAATTTTCAAATTTTTTTAAAGATTTATGCAAAGTAAAATATAGTGGGTGGCCCAAAAAGTTTGTCCAATTTCTAAAACAATTTTTAAAAATGTCTCGACAAACTTTTATTAACATTATTACCATTTTGTTCTACTACTGTCCGTCATCTTTCAGGCAAATTCATATTGAAAAGGTAATCTAACGGTGCAATATCAGGTGAATACGACAAATGATTTAAAACCTCCCAGCCAATCTGTAACAATTTCTGTTTATACACCAAACTTCATTAGTACAGTTAATTTATTTTGTTTATTCCATAATCTGATATTCTACATTGATAGTGTATCCACTTTTCAAATGACACTATTAAAAAAAACAAAACAAAAAAGAAAAACAACTTATCTTCAAATAGTAGATTGCACAACATCCCTTACAATTTTCATGGAAACCAACAAATATCACCAAACTGGTGCCAATGATTTTCAGTTCTTGATTTGTATACTGTTGATTATTTTGATTACTGTCAACCTCAACTGATCTACCTGAATGGAGTCAGTAAGAGATCTCCAGTAAGAAATTTTGCAAACTACTTTTGACACATTTAATCTACCTTTAAACTGCACAATTTTTTTTTACTTGCTGTTATAATATGGTATTTTTAATTTAAGAGAACTTGTTAAAATAAAAGATAGATTATATGAAATATATTGCTATCTTTAATGTTAAAAGTTTTTAAACAAATTTGACAATTTTTAACTTTTATTTATTACAGAAGTGCCTACAATTATGACATCAACATTCAAAGTTGATATTTTTGCAAGTTAGTTAAAACTCAACACTTCCAATTTCATATAGTAAAATTTTACCCAACTCACTAGTACTAACAAGTAAAATAGTAATAATCAGCATCAAATTATATTAAGCATCATGTTCAGGTAGGGTCAACACCACAATAAAGATAAACTTGGTAAACTATTAGCAAGATTAGCTTCCTAACCACCACTCATACGTTTCAGCAGAAAATGAACATATTAAATCATTGTATTCAAATGTATAATTTTATAGTAGAGAATGGTTTGAATAATTTTGTTATAAATAAAATTATGAAAACATCATAAATTCTTTAAAATTTAAATTAGATGTGATGTTAATATTCCATAGGTTTTAATTACCGAGTTTTTCAACACTAGCATTAAGTGAAAAATTTTTTGTGTTAAAATTACATTAATGTAATACATTATCCAATAAAGTTAAGGATAAGCACACAAAAGTTCCTAGAGGTTATAAAAAGAAAAAAAAGGTGATAAAAATAAAATAGTATAAGATTCTCTTTAAATTTATAAATCTGAATAAACAAACTTACTTTTTGTTGAGTTGGATAATCATATTTTCCAAGAGACCGAGAGTAACCAAGTTCTGAAGTTGTTGAATTTTTCTCATGTTGGGTTTCTTTCAACTTAAAAAATAAAAGATAAATAAAACATTGTTTTAAATGTTCTTGGTTGAGGAAATGAAAAGAAAAACATTGAGAAGAGTTATTAACATTTCAAATAGTATTTAAATATACATTTGATACATTCTTTAGCCATCATCAGGTATATATATATATATATATATATATTTGGGATAGCAGTAAAACCTTCCACCAAGCAAAAATGGTGATAGAGCAGTAATTAATATACAAACCAGATTAATCCATCTGTAGCACTAGGTATACTATACCATCACTCAAGAACCCAACTTATTCAATTATCTGAATATAAATAAAAATGGTAGATATCTGAGATTAAGAAAAAAGCTAACTTATTCTATGATGTCAAAAGAATCGCAAACTAATTTCAAACTTGCAATGAACCACAGTTCTACAAAATCTAAACCTGAGACCCTAATAAAAGAAATGCAACTATTTGAGAGACTATTTTGAATTTCAAAGTCCCTCTATCACTAAAAGCATAAAACTGATATATGTTAACTATGAGTTATTTGCATATTTTTTTTGCTATTCCCTATCCAGAAACAACCACGTTCACTATCTTTAGAGTACCCACATACAATATTGTGCAAAAGTCAAACAAACTGTAATAAGTTATCTACTTGTAAATGAAGGCTTTGTAGCCTTTTGTCATAGATGATATGACAAGCAGCATCTAAATGCAGTGGTTTAAAATTTGTGGGAAAAATATTCACTAACCTACAAAATGGCATCGCAGGGATGAAGTTAGATTTTTGTTCAGTAGTACCACAATAATATATAAAAAAAAACAAAAAAAAAACTCATATTTACACTATGAAAAATAGCCAGAAATGCAATTAGATAATAGGGCAGAGTATACCATTCTGAATTTGCCATAAAAATAGTATCCATTAGAGATACATGCTTGAAACTTCATTAATTTTGGGATGAGTTTAAAAAAAAAAAAAAAAAATGTTTGAAAAAGTTGAACTATAAAATGTACCCATTTTTTTTTTTTTTAACAAACTAATCACATATGTGAAATAATTGTATCTTTAAATAGAGAAAAAAAGAAATTTAGCAGGTAATCAAAATTTATTCAAAATAGCCTAAAAAATAAACAAGATATCAGCAGTTGAATTGGAAGGAATTTTCACTATGTTGCTTCTGGGAATATGTTCAAGTGATGTGGTTTTTGTTATTTGGCAAAGTTCTAGTTCAGGATTTTGTTGAACCAGTCTAATGAAGCATAGTCTAAGATTACAGGATTAATTTGCTTGAAACCATTTTTAACAATGGAACTCTGAAAATGGGTGTATACAGATAGTATAGAAATCTCTGAATGAGTTCAATGCCATGTATGACATCCATATGAAAGTCACAAGGCTATTTAAGAATATGACTAGTTTTCAGGTTAATGATTGTTTTGTTACATCTTACAGTATTGGACAAATGTACTCCTAGTGCGACCTATCACATATACAACTTCCTTATCTAAATTTGTTGCATCTCATCCAGTCATTGACTAAAGCATTTAATCCAAAATTAAATTGAATTTTAATATTTTGGGGGAACAGTGGTGGTTATAGGTAGAAACTTATTAATGATGGATTTTACAGTAGGAATTAAGGATTACAGAATTAAAACAAACTAGAAAAATGGAGTCAGTTGCTTTTTTTTTTTTCCAGATTTCATGTCCATACCAACCTTGTTCAAATATTCACAATTATTAATTATTTGCACTAGTATTTTCACAAACTTATGTTCTCTCCACAATTTCTCAAGAAAAATGTTGCATACAATTTTTCAGAAAGTATGTTATTACACCTGGCATTTTTCATAGGGACTGATAATCATCCTTTTTCTCTTGCTAACATTTTATCTAATGATCTTTCATTTAGGATTGCACCAATATTTCTACAAAATTGCTTTCCTCATTAACTATGCTAAACTTTTCAGAGCTTTTGTATAGAGGATCAAAATTACATCTCTGCAAATAAATAAACATGCTTAAAGCATTAAAAAATCATAAGTTGGTTCTATAGATTACTGGAATTGTAAGTTCAATTATTAAGATAAGGGAACAGGCCACTTCATAGAAAGAGTGCTACAATCCTAAATGAATTGCTAATAAAAAGTTAATGTTTCAACCTTTAGGGTAAGGATTTTTTTGCGGTATTGTTTAAAAAGATTTTTCTCTAAGAAGTCTGATCATTTTAAGAAAATGTTAACTAACATTCAAACAAACCTAAAAAGAAAAAGAGAAAAGAAAAGTAAGACAAACTCAAGAAAACAAATCCATAGAGTCATGAAAGTAAAAAGATAACCAGAGTCATGAAAGTGTTGTGGAATAAATAAGACACCCCCTGACACACCTTAAATAAAGAACTCAAAGAGAGTCAGAAGAAGTCTCTTGGAGTCGATTGTAGACAATTTCTAATGATGTCATGGCGAGTAGCCTAAGTGAAACAGCTAGGAGCAAGTTATAACAGTGGCAATGAGAGATTGAAACTCATACAGAGTAGTGTGATAACATTTGTTGTGACAAAAGTTGTGACGAGGTTCATTGCACCTGTGGTGACATCCAATATCAGCTGTATCTGTATATACACCCAACTTTGTTATGCTCACAGATTTGTCCATATGATTGTATTCAACAAAACAATGTCAATTGATATTCAAGACTCTCTGGTTGTGAAATAGCAACAATACGATTTCTTACTTAACCAAGGGATTCTTCCTTCAGCTTCGAGAAGTGGACTGCCATCTTATTAATTTCCAGCTACGGAAAAAGGACTCTTACATTCACAGACTGTGGTTTTCGTCACTGCTGATTCCCCACCCCAGGCCGTTGGGAAATTACTCACTCACTGGTTGCCTACCCCTTTCTCCTTGACTTCCTGCCTGTCAACACTTATCTGGATAATGGCTGCCCCTCACCCCACCATACGTCCACTTGTGTTCTGAAAGGTTTGAGGCCATAAATTTAGATTTTTGGGTGGTCAACTTCTTCAAAAGATTCTAGTTTTATGATTATCTAAAATCATTAACAACATTTTATGTTTCCCAATTCAAAAGCAGCTGTAGACAAATCTCCAAAACACTGACACTTAAGTTTACTCAAAGATAAAAACATTTTAAAAAAATTTGAATAAATCAAAAACAGCAGTTAAGTACAATAGTAATATTCCATGTACAGCTCAAAACATGGAATTCTACATAGTCCCACAAAAAAAACATGCAGATGGACACCAACCACCTCCAAAGGTAGTTCAGCCCAAAGAGGAATAAGACCTGGGCAGGTCCCAGCCCTCTGAAACATCAGAATATACTGGTTAGCAGCCCTTATCTTCTGTTCAAGCCATTACAAGAGGATTTCAAACATCTCCAGAAAAATGTTACATTACAGAAAGCATCACGCTCCAGACCTTCCAAAGAGAAAAACAATACCAAACAACAACAACAATAAAGGGATTTTAACCACCTCTTCAAGTAAATCAGATCACAGGAAATGTCATTTCTACCAACCTTTCAAAATACAGAAAGACTTTAACCACCTCTTCAAATCTTTCCATTTCATAATGCACCCCCCACCTAAAAACAATGGAGTGTTCTCACATGATCTTTGCCCTAAAAATAAGACGCACAAGTCTCACTGCATGTTTCAATGTCTCACTGCACAATGATTACATTTCTTGCTTTTTTTCTTCTTTTTAAACACACACAAAAAAGTTCACCTAAAGCAAAAATAAAACAGCTCTTATCACAAGTCACAATTTACAGCAAGACACCCACAAAACTATAAAAATAAAAAGTCATCAAAATATATACTATGGGTAGACCACAACAATGTTCATCTTGAGTCCACCTGTGAGTGCCTGTGTCAAAGTCATCAGATGCAAGGGTACCCCCCCGTTTTCCTTTTGGAATAGAGGACTACAAATGTTCCCCTCCCCTTTTTTCTTTTCTTTGAACTCCACACATATAGTGGGAAATTGTAGCTTCACTCCAATCCATCTGACTCCTGGGGAGCTATCATTTCGATTAATCTCCTCTCCTTGCCCTCAAATTCTCTCACCAGCTCATTTTGTACCCTATGCTTTTTCAGCCAACATCTATAACTCACTAAAACAATTGCTAGTACTATGGTAACTGACAACCAAACTATAGTATTTGCTGTTGGGTTCCCCTCATTGGGGTGATTTCTGCCCACCATCACTAACTTATCCACTAATTCATATAAACCTAATGGCTCTAACAATTGGGGTAACTTGTGCAGTTATATTTGTTTTTCTTATTAGGGGCTCTCACAGCCCTGTATACTTGCTAGTCAAAACATCTACCTAAGCTAGAAAGGAGTCCTGGGCTTGGATTTGTGAAAACCCTTCCCATGCATTATCCTCATCTGGTCACCCTGTTATGCTACTGACGGGAAAAGCAAGTAGAGAAAATTGTAGCAGATATCCAGAAAGAAAGGACAGCTAGTTTGTTATTCAAAATTTCAACAAGTCGATGATTGTCAAAGTCAATGCAACCATGTCTATGGTTGATGGTAAGTTGCAGAGTCTTGTCACTGGTTTGGGAGGTGCATTTTACTGTCAGTAAGGAACAATGTAACAATGATGACTGCATCTCATCTGGTTTCAAAATTGATTGCTCTTTGGAACAGACACTTGCCATTAGCGAAACAGATTCCTTATCCAGGAAATCGTAAAACTGGTGATTACAAGGTTTGTAAATATGTTACTGAGGATCCTATTACCAACAAAGATATTAATATAGAAGAAAATGGAAGTTCTTTCACTCCTGATGCCATAGCTGAATTCATATACAATTCAGATAATGGAATTACCTTTTCTGCTTATTTTAGAAGACACAAGCAAATTTTTCTTCAAAGAAGAATGCAGCAACTGGGAATAAAAGACAAAACACGACTTTTCTCGAGAAAGTTAGTGCCAGTAAACCATGAAAAATACTGTGATTTTGTACTACTCAGTAAAAAAAAAAAAAAAAAAAGAAATAAGAGAAATTTGCATTGGAGAAACTGTAAAATATTCTGACTAAAATCTTTAGTGAGAAAAAGTTCATTATTCAATACTTGCTGGAAGTGTATGAATCTGACAAAAAAAAAAAAAAAAATTATAAAGATATTGTTACATATGCTGGAATCATTAACAAGGAGTTATGAACTGACTCTGGATATGTTTAACAGGTTAATTTTCATTCAAGGGTTAAAAAAAAAAAAAAAAAAAAAATGCTAAAATTCTAACAAAATTTAAACAAAATCAAAAAGTAACATGAAATAGACAAACATCAGAGAATAATAAATCTGAGACATGATAATTGAAGAAAAAGAATGTATATACATACAAGCTAAAGAAAAATATGGAAAAAGAAAAATTAATCCAGGTTTCAGATGTGGAAGGTTACATATTGAGGACAATTGTCTCTAAGAATTCAAAGTGTTACAAATATGGAAAAATAGGACATCACACTGTAAAACTAAATAAAGAAAAAGTTCTCAGAAAAAAATTTCATACTGTGTTACAGCGGAAAAAAATAACTTAAGAAAACCAAGGAAAATTTGTGTATGTGAAAATTAATAATGTGGATGTAAAAATGCAACTAGACATTGGCAGTGATATTGCAATAATTAATGAAACCACATAGAAAGCAAACGGAAAACCTACATTAAAAAGAACTTTGAAAATTGCACATGGTATGTTGGGTAAGAAATTGTTTTTAATTGCCGAAGTAACTTGTAATGTTTCATTTTGTAACAACTGTGCAAAAGCTAAGGCTTATGTGTTAAAAAATACTACATATATTGGTACTGACTGGATGGAATTATTTTAGTTGGGGGATTTTAATATAAATATTTATTGCAAAAATTTAACCACAGTTCTCTATTATTAAAAAAAAAAAGCATAGATTACAATGCTAGGATACCATCTTATTAAATTACAATTTCAAGATGGAATACCAACCATCCCAAAAATTAAGACATGCTGATGGTTTATAAAGATTGATATAAAAAAAATACTGAACCATTTGAGAACTGTTATTGCTGTTAAATAGTGAAATAGAAATGAAAAATATATTATGCAATGTAGTATGCAAACTACCATTTACCCTGGAAAAAATAAAAGTAAAAGCAGTACAAGACATGTTTATTTTGAAAATAAAAACAAAGGAAGACAGACAATTTTTAGAATGCAATCCAGACTTGAATGTTTACTCACTATGTCATAGTAGACATCTGGGAATTTCAAGGTCAAATCTCTTGCAAGAAGTTAAATATACTGAACCAGAATGGATCTAGATATTGAATAATTAATAGAGGTGGTGCTCTGGCAGCAAAATCACCTACCACAAAATTATAACCTTGGCCAAAGACAGATACTCTATAGTCATAGACTGCACAGATTTCACAGGTCCAATAAACAGATCACATACACAAACTGCTTGCAAACTATGCCATAGTCTAAGATAACGGTACATAATTCACTGCTTACAAATTTAGAGAATTTTGGATTGAACATATTACAACCCACTCCGTATCATCCAAGGTCAAACAGACAAGCTGAATAGTTTGTAGGTACATTTAAGAGAGCTTTTAAAAAAAAAAAGCAAGTAATGAAAAAGTGAGCAAAGAAGCTCTACAAAAATTCTTGAGAGTATACTAGATAACATCGAATCCCAATACACTGGCAGGCATGTTACCAGCAGAATTGATGTTCATAAGAAAAATTAAATTGGTGTTCAACAAGTTGTTACCAGGTCAAAAGAAGAAAAAGAACAGATAACAAAAAGGACATAAAATTTTTCAAAATTGGCGAAAAAGTGTTTTTCAGAGCATATAAAAATAGGAAAGAAATGTGGGAAGACAGCATAAGGTCAGAAATTGGAAAAATGATATATATGGTGTAAGGAAAAAGATGGGAACACAAAAGGCATTGGAATCAGTTAAAGAAATGGTTCACTGTAAGAAAGGAAGAAGCTATGCAAATACTGTATGATATTTTTGATGTACCAACATCCCAAGAATTCACTGAACGTACAAGTAGGATTACCAGAAAAAGGAAACGTACAGAAAAACTAGAGGTTTTGACCAGAAACAAAAGAAATACAAAAGGTCATTACATTGGCAAACTTGCCAGAAAGAGTTGAGGGGGAGGTGAATACTAAGAAATAGAATAAGTGTAGGGCTGTTGTAGAGTAAATAAAACACCCCCAGTAACACAAAATGAACAGGCAAGACACCTTAAATAAAGAACTCAAAGCAAGTCAGAAGTAGTCAGTCATGGAGAATTACTAATGACATTAGGGTGAGTAGCCTTAGTGAGACATAATATTACAACTACAGGGAGCAAGTTATAAAAAAAAAGTCGAAAAAGAAAACCATCGAGTCACAAAAAATTATTGATAGATATATTAAGAAGCTTATTGTTCAACCACATAAACAAAAGAGTAATTGTACAAAGATAAAAGAAAAATTTGGCTTTAAAATGACATGATAAATACTGAAAAAATTTATGTTGATGAAACTAAAATATTTGTGATTCCCATTAGTGTAACAGAGCTCAAAGAGCAATTCTAAATCAACCTTTGACCATAGAAGCTAAGCTTAACATAAGTGCTGCTATCAGTATTTCTGGATTTATTCACTTAGATTATTTAAGAAAAATTCTCATGTTGCTTATAGTTTTCTTGAGCAATGCTTCTAAAATGTTCATTAATATGCAATGCATCGATTCACAAAAACTGAAGTATCACTACAAACTACAAAGTATCAACCTGTTTGCAGGTTTTTAATCTCCTTGAGCAGTATTTTTGCAAAATTTAAAAAGAACTGTTAATGAGTCAAAAATGACAATATCACCATATAAATGCACTATGATAGGCATTCAATTAAATTTATTAAAAACATTAATCTAGAAAATTTACGAAAAATTGTCAGTTAAGTTTGTACATTTTTACAAGAAAAATCATTATACTTTAAAAGTAGGTAAAGTCAATGGAAAAAGAGTTACCTAGAATTTCAACACATTTTACAAAGAAAATTCTATTTTAATACACTGAAGAAAATAGAATGAAAATAAATTAAACAGACCTTAAAAAATTTTTTTAAAAAAATCCATTTTGCTTGATCTTTTGTATCTGATGATCATTTTAACATTATATATGCTTTTTGATATTATAGAAAGAAACAGATTCAGTATTTGATAAATAATACAGAAACTGGATCAGCATGATTTTCCCCCCACGTGTTCATATTTATCAGTTTCAAGTTTAGTGATAAGGACTCAATTAGACTTTCATTTTATTTATAAATAATTTATTAAATTTGTTATTTTTGTTGGAAATGTAAATTAGAAATTACACTGGAAAATGTTTAGTCACTTCAGTCTGTTATAATCCAATTTTAGTGGAAGAGAAAAATGCATTTACCTTAATAAGTTCTTCTTCTAAGTCATTTACTCTGGCTTGAGCCTTCTCCCTGTCTTGTCTCTCAGATTCAAAATCTTCTGTGAAAATTTTAATTTGAGCTTTCAATGCAAGATTTTCTTCTTCTAACTTTGATGTATCTTTTTGAACATTACCAATCTGAAAAAAAAAAAAAAAAAAATTAAAAATGCATATAATCTTTTTCTTTTACAGTCTTTAATGAATAAAGGTTTTCTTGCAAAGTAAAAATTAAAATTCTATTGTAATTGGATATGGCTACTATAACATGACATCAATTTAGTTTCTGCATATAACCAGTCACTCACTATTATAATTAAAGTCCTTTGTCACTCACATTTTTTCACCACATCCTCTGTGGCACTGGGACCTCAGGGAGTTAATCAGAAGAAAGAAAAAAAAAAAAAAGGGGAGAGACTACTAACTGGATGATAATTGTTGACATTCTCAGGAAAGTGGATTGAAAAGTTAAGAAAATTAAAAACAAAATGTGTTAAAAATTAGGTTTTAAAATAAAATGATATCAAGAACAGTTCCAAAGAAAATTGAACCCAAACTTAACTAAATGGAATTCAGTAAGATTGAGCAAAACCAAGACTACCAGTCCTTCCCCACTTCCTGCAGATAAGAGAGGGACAATTAATGTATCATCGAAGATGTCCGTCCTGGAAAATAGCAAAACATTTTGCTGGTAAAGAAAATGGGTGGTCACTGAAATAGCATCTAAATTGTTCTGAACAAAGATTCAGAAAAAACATTTGGTTTGAAGAAAAATATCCCTACAAAAATAAATATTAGTGCCTAAAATTGGGGACGGGTTTGTGACATTCATCAAAATTGTATAGCCAATACTTGGGATTTTTTTGGAGAGAAGCTGAAAGAAAGATTGGAGTGACCATAGGCAACAGGTTGTGTGGTCTTGTTGACCAAGAAACACAAACAGAGAAAGATAATTTTTTTTTATTTTATTAAAGATGTTGGGAATATTTTTTTTTCTTTCCCTCCGATGATGACTGGATGAATAAAACAATTCTTTAAATTGGCTGGCAGGAGGCCATCTGATTATCTTAGATATGGTCAAGTCCCTTGCTTTGGGAAATCACCTAAAGCAAACAGTGTGAGACAAGCTGATAAAGATTAATTACTGAAAATCCCCTTTTCACCTACACGTTCTAAAAGTTTGGATTTGTCACAAAGACAGTTGTACCAGCTTTTGGAAATGGGTTGAGGTTGGATGCTGAGAAGGTGAGAGAAGGGAAAGAGATTAACACTCCCAGATGAGAAGTGAAGGATGTTGGAATTAAGGGGCAGCTTGATTCCTCTGACCACTCTCAAAAAGGGGGCTGAACAATCCCTAAATTTAGAAAATTACTTGAGTAAGCATATTTAAAAAATATGGGATTTTAGAAAAAGTTTGATGCTAAGGGTGGGAGATAACTGAACCCCAGACCCTGGTCAACCCCACACCTGCTAGATGCAGGACTCCACATAAGATGGAAGTTTAGATAACTTAACGAGTCCCTACATTATTGCTAATGGAATCCGCATCATTCGTCAAGACCTTGTGCCAGCCCTGAAGACCAGAACTAAGAAATTTAAATTGCTACTAACACAGGCTGTAAACTCCAAAAGGGTATCCCAGTAAGATTTGATTATAACAGAAGAGGGGAGGGTTAGAACTGCTGTATACAACAAATCATATATAAACCAAATTATATTTTTAACCCAAGTTAATTCTTTATTTCAAAGGATTTTTTTGTGTAGCCTGAGATCAAAAACACAACATGGCAGGAGTGAATGGTAATGAAACAGACATACGCCAGCTAGATCAAGTGTAACTCTACTCGCCATCACGATAGCAGTGACAAACCAGCAATGTGTTAACCTGTGAGGTGTCAGCTAGATGGTAACCACAATGATCTGAAGGAACCTAGAGCCCAATGTAGTGAGAAAGTAGGTTACACCTCTCCTTAGCTTTTATATCATAATTTAATATTCATGTAAACCATGACATAGTTTATAACTTGACATTTTTTAAAGTAAAAAAAATGTAAAAAGGGCTGATAGTTTTTATTTACAAAAATAGTAAATTTGCTCTACTTCAGCAAAGAAGGTTCCAGAACATAAATAATTGCAAAATCATAAAAAAAAAGCAGCTGTCACAAAACTAAAAACCATTTGAAAGACAAGAACATCTGCCTGAGATCAAAGATCAGAGCGTCACCCACTCAGTGAAGTTTAGAAATGAGATGCTACAGAACTGTCCTAGACATTCCCATATAGACTGTATCACAAGTAATGCATAGTGAGATACCATCAGACAAGAAACAAGCCCATTAGAAAGCCTCATAACTACTATTAAAAAGAAGTTAAAATGGTATATGGCCACATTACAAGAGCCAACAAATTTCCACTACCATCCTTACAAGTTATCACACCCTTAGGCAAAAAAATGCAAACAGAAAAAAAAAATTTAAGTGAAACTTGAAATTCTTGAACTGTCACTAACTTAATCAGAAGTGGATTAAGAAAACTTCAACCTCCTCACAAAATGTACTATTTAGAAGGCTGCTATATGAGGACAAGAAGCCTTTCACCCACCACTACCTTAAAAATTCTGATTAGTCATTCAGAAAGTGGGGAAATGGGTTGGGCTAGGAACCTTTCAGCACCCCCTTCAAAGGTAGGGCTTTTCCCCTGAGCAAGCCCACTACTTTTACTCAAACTGAATATATTTTGTTTTTGCTTGGTATTTTTTGGTCATGTTTTTTAATGAACATGTTCAAAGCTAAGGGATCAAATGAGAAAAATTCATTGTAATCAGCTTTTTTGACATGTTCTATGTAAAAACTGCTTAAAAAAAAAAAACAAAGACACCATCCACTTTCAGTCTACTTCACAGAAATGACACACTGTCTCCTACTTATAAGACATCCAGGGTCAACTTACTGATATCTCTCAGCAGGTGAATTATGGGACAAATGCAGATTGAATGGTTAACTATTTCTTTTAAGATAAATCACATAAGAGAAATTCTAGCATATCCCCTTATATAGCATTGCAAACCAATCCCCAAGCAGAGTTAAGAAAATTGGTACCTTTCATCTAAGATTACACTGAGTGGAAGCCATCCACTGATAAGCCAAAAATCACTTGGCATATCAGGAGTTATTCAGTCCACAATGTCCTTACAGAGGCTATATTTGTAGAGTGAAAGAGTAAAGATTCACAATGAAGCTTAGAATGAAATTATTTGACTTTCTGCTTTTTTTTTTTTTCCAGTTGAAAATGTCATCCCCAAGTAATGTCAGTGAGTGATTCATTGAGTGCAACATATATATATATAAAAAAAAAAAAAAAAAAATGCTGCACTCAGAGAGAGAGAGAGGGAGGGAGGGAAAAAAAAAAAAAAAAAAAAAAAAAAAAAGGAACATTCCTTGATTATCTTGAAATGGGGAAATTCTTTTTAGGTTATTTGATCAAGCTTTAAAATAATCAGTATAAAAAAAAAAAAAAAATTATTTAACTTTATAAATCACTCAGTTAATTTATTTTGTTAAATAGAATGTATTAAAATACAAATAAGAAAAAAAGTATGAAATTAATGAACAATTATCACAAAATCATTGGTTATCTTAATGAGAACTGACTTTCCAAAACAAGTTTAAAAATATATCTCAGGAGAAATCTTTCAAGTTTTTTTTTAAGGTTAAATAAATTTATATTTAAATATTTTTATTAAAAAAGAGAGAAAAAAAACCCCAAAAAACCTATCAACTTACATTAGTGTTTTGACTGGTTTTTACTCCTTCTTGGGTTCTGCATTGACCAACACCAGATCCTAGGGAACAAAGTTTTTTCATGTATGCTTCCCTTTGTTGGTTATACATTTGCCATTTTTTATTCATCTCTGTTACTTCAGCAACTTTTGCTCGAAGTTTCTCATTTTCTGCTAACAGATCATAATTTTGCTAAAAAGAAAAGTTATAAAGTTTTAAGTTGAACAGAAATTTTTTATTATAAATAGCAAGATTAGAATTTATTTTCTCCATTAAAAATTTTACAAGCCTAATAAATACTTTGTAAAATGTCAAAATTAAAGATATTACTAAGTGAAAAAAAAATATTTTCAGTAGAGAATACAAAAATGAAAAACTTACCATACTAGCTATAGGAATGGATTTGATATTTTCTGCATTCGTTAAACGATGATACATAGTTTGGCATTGATGAGCAAACTGCTGAAGTTCCTGTTGAAGTTCTGCAACTTGGACTTGGGTCTGTGATCTTTCTGGTACATCAGAATACCGCTGCATACGAATCTTCTTTTTATATTCTTCATTTTCCTGAAAAAAGTTAAGTTCTTATAAAATTTCTTGTTTTTATTTTTATTACATTATAAAAAGAAATATCAAGGGGGAAAAACAAAATAAAAATTAAATAAAGAAATAAAAATTAAGAAAAAATAAATAGCTAAAAACGGTTTTAAATTAAGGAAAGTGATACTGAAAAGAATTTTTCCAGTAATCAAACTTTATATATATATATATATATATATATATATATATATATATATAAAATATATAAAACAATATAAAAAAAATCAATATAATTTAAAACATTAAAGATTTAAGAAAATATTAACATAGATGTAGATACTGGGTATACATTATGAAATGGATAAAGTCCGACAATTATTTTAAGACATTATTTGTATCTATAAAAAGAATGTATAAACATGAAATGTCTTAAAATACTGGGTATAGTTTATTAGACTTATACAAATTGCATAATTCTTTTATTATATAAAAAGCATACATGCACATAATGTGACACTGTAAGAATTCTAATTTAAAGAAAGAAAAAATGCTTAAATTAAATTGAAAGTGAAAAAGATGAAGGTAATAGATAGATTGAAGGACATACCGAAAATAAAAGAAAATATACTTTTATCTTATTTTCTCATTTTGTGAGTAAAGGAAGCCCAAGGGATGATGTGAGGGGAATGCAATAACATCCACAAAGTGACCAGGACTGATATTTTTTGGGACAGAGACCACCAAGCTAGTTGCAGATAATAATGATTCTATGTCACTTGTTGACAGGGGTGGAAGATGCACGTGTCACTAAAGGAATAAGATTTCTTTAAATACAATACAGAATTCAAATGACGAAGAATTCGGTTAATTGGTAAGATAACAGTTTGGTCAAAGCCTTCCCTGAAGACAAAAGAAAGAAATAATTATCTAAGATGGGAAATTTGGGAGATATCAAAACTTTTTATGACAAAGGACATTTCTGATGATGTGGGGTTAAGACAGATAATTTTAATTAATGAATGTATGCTACCCCAGTAAATTGGTGAATGAGAGAGAGCGGAAGAAAACAGACTATGCCTATTGAAGGGTATTGGTATAAGATACGAATAAGAGAAGGAGGGAGTAAGTGAAGCAGCTTGACGACCTGCTACCTTTACTCTCCAGAGGAAGGATTCCCCAAATTTGGACATGCAAATTGCTTCCCAGGACACTGTCAGCAGAGAGATTTGAATGGATATTAGGAAAATCCTGGAACCCCAGATCGTGTCAAACCCCACACCAATGTTGGGTGAGGGTCCATTAAAGCATTAGATCAGAGTGGAATTACAGACAGAGTAGCAGTTGAGACAGAAACATGCTTCCATTATGCCAAAAGGAGACAATAGTTTCACCGATCACCATGTGATTTGCTGTTACAAAGAACTCCCAAGTTATGCCTTGTTCCAGACTATTAGATAAATTGAGCAGAGTGCCCTGATGAAATTTCAAAGTGGAAGAATTGAAAGAGAAAAAGAGAGGGAGACGAGTGCTTTGTCAGCATTCCGTAATGCTGAAGAGGTCTCTTAGTTTGAAACCTTGACCCCAACTTGGAAATGAAAAACAAAGTGTCACAAAATTAGACTACGAGAGAATTGTTACTAGCCTGCATGCTTGTAGATTCTTTTATAAAATGTGTTCCTGTATAAACCTCAGTTATATAAACTATTTTAATATACACAACTTTCTTTTATCTTATAACATCACCCCACCTGAACGACAACAATCCAGCGATATCTTGCAATGATTTGACCTTTGCCTGCCTTGAGAACAAACAAAAATGTGGGACAGGGAGAGGATTGGATTGAAGTGACTAACTTCACAGTTAGCTGCAAGATTCAATCACAGACATGCTGGTGATCGAGGATGAGAGAGCGTTGTCATGTAGTGCAGGGGCCAGGACATCCTGCAGCATTAATATTTGGTGCCAGTGACCAACAGGTTCACCCTCAGGTGACTGTGCAGCATTATAATAATGTGATAGACTAACACTTCATAAACCATTATTAACAACACAAATAATGTACACACAGTTACTGGTAAAAAAAATAGTCTTGCTTATATGTAAATAATTATTTAAATGAAAGTAAAAATAAAAATTTGATACAATTTTTTTTTATAGTTTTTAAGAAAATAATTAAAATCTAATACTATTCAAACAAAACAGATTAGATTTTATCAATTCATTACTTCAATAATATTTATATTAATTTCAAGTGGCAAATTAACAAAAATTATGAATATACAAATCCATGTTAATTTTTAATTTTATCCATTTAAGTAATCTGGAGATTTACGTGGAAGTGAGTGAAAAATAATTTTCATTTTGCCTCTTAATGTAGCTAGATTTATTTTCCATAAAAAGAATCAGTTTCAGCAAAAAAAAAAAAAAAAAAAAAAGAAACTTTTCAAGACAGAAAAACAGTGTCCAAGTTGCTGCTGAATATGAAACTTAAAAGGAATACATTATGCAACACACTATTGTGATTGTTGTAAAAAGAGCTGTTGACAACTGTGTTGATTTTAATTATAATGGGAATGTTTATTGTAAAAAAAAAAAAAAAAAAAAACTTACACAATTGTGGCACAAAATCAAAGGGGAAGTGGGGTAAGGTTGGTCAACGTTAACTATCCTAGACCTAGCTAATCATATTCACGACCCATTCATTAATTACAATTTGCTCATTCACCACAAGAACTTATCCTTCAATCCTACATGTACCACAATACTACATTTTTTTCACAGGGAGCCTACAAAATCTCCAGGACATAAAAATCTCAAAATGTTCAAATGTTTCTTTTTTCTTATAAAAATATATGCAAATTTCATGAACATAAAATGATAAGTGGAGGGGATTAACCCAAAAATATAACAAAATCATTCAAATTAAAAGTAACATGTTAGTAGGACCTATCCACCCTACAAAAAATAAGGTATTCTGTCTTTAGATAGAATCAAGAAGCACACTCAATAATTAAGAGTGAAGGATAAAAAATGACAGTGTGGGAAACATGGACCCAGTAAAAATAATACAAAGGTAACAAAAACAAACTGGATCATAACAAAAGAGAATGCTGAGAACAACACTTACTTACATTAACTATGTAAATAGAGTCTAACTTAACCAGGGGTGGGTTTACAGGAAATCACCCCGTTGCATCAAAGGGGATTTAAAAAAAGAAAATCAAAACTAGCCCCATTCACATAAACCAAGCTCACCAGTTAACCACATCTCTCTGAAATCTGTTGATAAATGCTTTCTATCAGTTCTGATCTTCGACTTGAGCTGATGCCCAAAGAATCCAACCAGATTCTGATGAGAATAGTGTTCATCTCACAAGATTCCCTCCATCTGCGATGTCCACACCACCATTCTTGCCATGGCTAGCAACATGAGAATCACCATTTGCTTCACCCCAGAAAATGGAGGCGACACATTATTGCACATGTATGCAAGATCGATGGACACGAGATGTTCGGGATAGATACAAGCCACCAACTTGCTTACAAGTCCCAGAATGTGTTCATCTGAGGACAATAGTAGAAGGCATGCGAAGATGCTTCCTCTAATCCAAGGTCACACTTATGGCAGCCAGGCAAATCTGCCCAGCTCCTTCTCTGAAGGCATTGAAGGCACATTCCAATCAATCGCCAGGTAAGTGAAAATTCAGGGCTGCTGCTGGTGCCCAAGACCAGAAAGAGCACAACTGTCGCCAACTAGCCAAGCCGCCCACATAGAGGATCCTTCGTGACCTCCTCCAGTAATTCACAATACAATAGCCTATGAGGCTGTGAAAGTTTGCCCAACATTCTCAGAGGAATCTCGACTGTGCTGTGAGCACCATCTTATGATGGCACTCAGCCCTAGAAACAGGAGGAGTGATGGTAAGGCCACGGAAGGTGTCCCTAATACTCCCCTCTAAGACTGACTCTTCTGTCAATGCACAATGTAAGAAAGTCAACCTCGAGACATAGCAATGGCACATCAAGCTCCTCATGACACCAACATTGGGCAATGACCAGATGCTTGTAACCACCCTACAAGAGGTAGGACATCAAGCACTCAAGCACCTTCTTACAATTCTTGCACAGAGGAAGTATAGGCAGTTGATAAAGGATAAGAGGACCAATTCTACAGCCTCAAGTACAATTCATAGGGCAGACCATCAAGTCCCGGAGACTTGCCACTGCCGGCCCTCTTCAATGCCAAGTAAAGTTCACCCTCTGATTTCACCTGCGCAGGTAGTCTGTGAAAGATGAGGAAAGATCAGCCAAATAAATACAAAACTCTTCACTGCAGAGACCAGGATCCTTGGTAAACTGGTTCTAAAAATGCCCCAGAAATGCCTCGTCTTTGGTCAATCTCAGAGTACATCCCTCCCAAATACATTGATAAGAATTGTGATGTATCTTTCCCTAGCACAATTCTGCCCCCATATTCACAGCTTCATTAGACATCTTGTTTAACCTATGTCTAATTAACTGACCCTGGTAGCACTTGCTAGCCTCACACTCCAGAGTTTGCCTGGTTAAACCTATCTCTAAGGAATCCCCACCTGCTGCCCGGGAAAGACTATTCTTGAGAGTCTTCACCGTATTAGCTTTATCTAGGGTGAGTTGTTGGCTATGTTCGGTGATGAAAAACCTAATACTATCCTTAAGCCTCTCCCATCACTTACTTGCAAAAACTACGCCACTAGTTTCTACTGCACTAATCTAGTCAGCTGTTGTAAAGACAGACTGAACTTCCAGTGTCAAACCATTCTAGGTCTAGCACCTAATGCCATCCAGACACAGACAAGTCTATGGTCTGAATAGCCTAACCAGTGGACAATCTAGCAAATCTAAATTGACCCTTCTTACTAACATTTTATCCAGGTAGCTGGCTACCTGGCTGGAGAAACAGCCACTTAAGAACCCACATCTCCCCCTTTGGGTGGTTGACCTGGTATCTATCAACAAAACCAAACTTGCCAATCAGATCAACCAA